GCTCGAGCAAGGAGGCAAAATCTGAAATTTTTAGATTGTTTTTCTAAGCTCAAAACTCAAATTCAATGCTGCCAATCATGCTTTCTTGGGCCAAAAACTCAAGGAAACTTGTGTAAACTTAGAAAACACCATGAATTCGAATCCATTTCACAAAATCAAGACCCAATAGTAAGCCAATTATGCAAATTCAAACCTGAAATGTGGAAAACATAACATGCATGTAATTTCTTGACTTCAAAGCCTTCAAAACATGATCAAATGAGGTGTTTAACTCAAAGACATGATGAATTCTTAGAACAAGCCCAAACTAGGAACATGCAAGAGGGAAATTCCTTGAAAACAAACTCAAATTATGTTGGAATGAGCATGCATGCATGATATGCTTCCCAATTCTACTTTCTTAGCTTCAATTATGGATCAATTTTTATATTCTCTTAAATGTTCATGAAAATTAACTTGAGCTCATAAAATATGAATTGAATTCTTACCTAAAATCCACAAGTATTTGAATCCTAGTGAGTTCTTGAGTAATTCCATCAAATTTCCTTAAATCCTCTGGCAATCTCTTTTCTCTCTAGTTGATCTCACTTTCTCGTCCTCTCTTCTCTCCTCACGTTTTTCAACTCAAGGAATGATGAAGTGAGAGTGCAAAAAAATGTATTCTAGAGGTCATATGAGCCTTATATAGGCTTTATTAGTGGCTCTTAATTAATTAGAGTGAAAGATAACTAAGTGGGATCATTTTATTCTAATTTATTCGTTTCGAATTGAATTTTAATGAAACTTACCAAAATATTCTAAAAATCCCAAATAACACATAAATCAAGTCAATTTTGTGATCGGATGCTGATAAGGCCTTCAATTCGCAGAACAAAACAGAAACACAAACATATATTTCTACATTAAACAAATAAAAGCACAAATAAGGCAGCACATGTAATTACCCCAAAATTTCTTCTCAATTACGTATTAGGCATACTTAATCATGTTAATCACAGGTCGGGGTAGTTACATGTCGACACGAGCTTTAAACAGCAAGCACATTACGGCCTTGTGCTAATCACAGTTTTCATGGGCATATTTAAGGATAGGTCTTATTCTCATAGAAAGCGGCCCCACTTCCATGCTCGCAAAGGTGAAATCTATCAAGGATGTTCCTCTAATTGACACACCCCACTCAACCAGAGCTATATAATTTCATTAAAAGTATAAAGACTCAACCCTCCAACATTATAAGACAAATGCACTTACATCATAGGGATGGACAACAATATAGTAAAGAGTGCATTTTTTATAACCACCATATAGTTCGTTCTACCCATTGAAACTAGTTACAGGATCTCTGGTCCCCAGGTTGGGTGTTCTCATACATTGTTTATGATTCTATAGGCTTCAAACCCATCCCCCACGATGTATTCTAGACCCTATCTCTCGCCAAGGCCTTCGTTAACGGACCCTCAAGATTGTTACAAGATTTTATATAATTCACAGTTATGATGCCATTACTCAAATTAGATCTCACATTACTGTGTTTCCTTTTAATAAGTCTAGATTTACCATTATAAAAATGTTTGTTCACTCTACCAATAGTAGCAGTGCTATCACAACGAATTAGCACAGGAGGAATTGGTTTTTCCCAAAAAGGGATTTTGTGTAACAAATCTCTCAACCAATTTGCTTTCTCACATGCTAAAGCTAATACTATAAGCTCAGCTTCCATTGTAGAATTAGCAATTATAGTCTATTTTTTAGACTTAAAACATATAGCACCACCACCCAAGGTAAAAATAAAATCCGAGGTAGAGAGAGAATCACCTGACAAAGTGTTCCAATCAGCATCGCTATATCCCTCAAGTACCGCAGGATACTTGTTATAAAACAAACCATAATTTTTGGTACCTGATAAATATCTCATAATTCTTCCCATGGCTAGCCAATAATCTCGACTTTGCTTGCTAGTGAACTTGCTAAGTACTCCAACAGCATATGCAATGTTAGGTCTAATACAATCAGTAGCATATCTCAAACTACCAATCATGCTGGCATATTCCTTTTGATTAATCATATTTTTTTCATTTATTACAGCAGATAAATGTATGATTGCATCAAAAGGAGTAGCAATGTGTTTACAATCTAGAAAATTATGTTTCTTTAAAATTTTCTCAACCTAATGCGACTAATCAAAAAAAATGCTATCATTAGTCTTGGTAATTTTAATTCTCAAAATAAAATTGGCTTCACCAAGATCTTTCATATCAAAGTAGCTATTAAGCATATTTTTAGTCTCATTTATAATATGCAAATTATAGTCAAAGATAAGTAAATCATCTATATATAAGTTAATAATCACATGTGCATTCTCACAAGTTTTATAATATATGCACTTATCACATTCATTAGTCTTATAATCATTCTCAAGCATAAATGAATTAAATTTCTCACGCCACAGATTAGGAGTTTGTTTTAAACCATAAAGGGATTTAGTTAGCTTACATAACTTGCTTTCTTGGCCAGGTTCTACAAAGCTCTCTAGTTGGTCCATGTAAATCTCTTCGTCTAGATCTCTATTTAAAAATATTTGTTATCCCAGATAGGCAACCCAAGAGGGGGGGTGAATTGGGTTATTAAAAATTTTACAATATTAAAAATAACAAAATATTCAAAATTTTAATAAATAAAAAAAAGAATAATAATTATCAATATAAAAGTAGAAGAGATAGAGAGAGAAAATCAAACACTGCGATTTATAGTGGTTCGGCACGCCAGGCCTACGTCCACTCCCCAAGGAACCTCCTTGAGAATTTCTTTACTATCAATTGAATAAATACACCACCAAGCTTGTGGATTTGGCACAGGACTTACTCTTATCTATTGAGCCTCACTCAACAATAAATGCCTTACCCTTACAAAATCTCTCACAAAAATAAGGAATAAGAATAAGTGGTAATTAAACCCACTTTTACAATAATTCTCTCACAAAGAGTAGATATGAAAGTGTAAGAACAAAAACTAGACTTAGATCTGAAAGTGAAAGAGCAGAATACTCAGAATTTTGGAGCTCACAGAAATATTTTCTCTTCAAGTACTTGATTTTTCTCCACATCCAACACTTCTATTTATACACAAAAATATGCCCGTTGGACACTCCTTGTTGACGTCATGGCTTACATAAGCACGCTCCTGACGTCATCGCTTACATAAGCATGCTCCTGATGTCATCGCTTACATAAGCAGGCTCTTGACCCAAGGTAAAAATAAAATCCGAGGTAGAGAGAGAATCACCTGACAAAGTGTTCCAATCAGCATCGCTATATCCCTCAAGTACCGCAGGATACTTGTTATAAAACAAACCATAATTTTTGGTACCAGATAAATATCTCATAATTCTTCCCATGGCTAGCCAATAATCTCGACTTTGCTTGCTAGTAAACTTGCTAAGTACTCCAACAGCATATGCAATGTCAAGTCTAATACAGTCAGTAGCATATCTCAAACTACCAATCATGCTAGCATATTCCTTTTGATTAATCATATCTTTTTCATTTATTACAGCAGATAAATGTATGATTGCATCAAAAGGAGTAGCAATGTGTTTACAATCTAGAAAATTATGTTTCTTTAAAATTTTCTCAACCTAATGCGACTAATAAAAAAAAATGCTATCATTAGTCTTGGTAATTTTAATTCTCAAAATAAAATTGGCTTCACCAAGATCTTTCATATCAAAGTGGCTATTAAGCATATTTTTAGTCTCATTTATAATATGCAAATTATAGTCAAAGATAAGTAGATCATCTATATATAAGTTAATAATCACATGTGCATTCTCACAAGTTTTATAATATATGCACTTGTCACATTCATTAGTCTTATAATCATTCTCAAGCATACATGAATTAAATTTCTCATGCCACAGATTAGGAGTTTGTTTTAAACCATAAAGGGATTTAGTTAGCTTACATAACTTGCTTTCTTGGCCAGGTTCTACAAAGCTCTCTAGTTGGTCCATGTAAATCTCCTTATCTAGATCTCTATTTAAAAATATCGTTTTCACATCCATTTGATGAATTTTTAAATCATGAATTGTTGCCACTGCTATCAACAATCTAATGGATGTAACTCTAGTAACCAAAGAAAAAGTATCAAAGAAATCAAGATCAATTTGTTGCTTAAAACCTTTAGCAACAAGCCTCGCCTTCTACAGGGCAGGCCCAAGAGGCCTGCGCCTTAGGCCCCCAGATTTGGGCTGAAAATAGGGCCCCAAAATATGATTTTTTGTTTTAGATATAAAAAAAAATCCAAATGTTATAAGCCCAATTGAATATAGGCCCCAAAAAAAAAATATCGTAATAGAGGCCCAATGAACTGTTCATAATAAAGGCCCATAACAAAATCCTTTACATTAATCATTATGAACATGGGCCCAAGATATGCCCACCTGAGAAGAATGAATTCACATGGGTCTTTACATATTTGATTTTGACGAAACACATCTTTGAGAAGAATGAAACACAGCACAACACCTGATAAGAATGAAATGAAACACATCTCTATTCTGTCTCCTCCATATTTGACAAAACCGTGAGTCTTCTTGCATTGGACTGCTCTCTCTCTTCTTGCATTGGATTGGACTGATGAAGATGAAACCGTGAGTCTTCAGTCTTCTCCTCTCCTTCATATTTGACGGACGCTGAGCACTAACAATTTTGGGCATCAAAACCATGAGTCTCTCTCTCTCTATATATATATATATATCACATTTAAATAGAGGAAGTTTTTGCCCTAATTTTTTTCCTAATTTGTTGCCCTAATTTTTCCCCTAATTTTCCTCTTAATTTCTTGCCCTATATAATTTGTTCTTTAAATTAGAAAATTACCTAATTTATATGCTTTAGTGAAAATCTATAATTTTTGTTGTGCTCTAATTCTGAAAATATATTATTTGCAGAGATCAGTGAATGTGAATTTGTGTGGATTTGTGATTATATAGAGTAGTCATCATGCCTCCTAGGAAGTATATGTCTGGATGTGAAAAAAGGAAAAAGAAGCAAAAATTAGAAAATTTTATTCAATCTCAATCGGGAGCGCTTGATAAATTTTTTGGTAACAAGAAACAAATAAAAAGTTCATGTTTGCTTGATGAAAATTTGGCAATTGAAGAACTTAATCAATGTAATGAGAATGATAATGAAGATTTGGGTGTTGAAGAGCCTATTGAATGTTTGAATGAGAATGACAATGAAGACTTGGTGAATGAGAAAGCTACTGAAAGTGAAGATTTTAATATTGAATATGGACCTTTAAATATTAATGATCCAAGTAATTGGGACAAGATTAATCAGAATTTCAGAGATTTATTAGTTGAAAGAGGTCCTATAAGAAGTAATGTTGTCAATTTTCCTAGAGATGACAAGGATAGACATTTCTCCTCTACACATTACATTCGAAATTTACCAAATGAAGAGAAGCAAGATAGGAAATGGCTAGTATATTCAGATGCTTCAAACAAAGTATTTTGCTTTTGTTGTAAGTTATTTAAGAAAGATGGGAACAAGACTCAGTTGGCTACTAATGGATTTAAAGATTGGAAGAATCTAGGTCACAGGCTTAGAAGTCATGAAACTAGCAATGAGCACATGACTTGTATGAGCAAATGGATTGAATTGGAAAAAAGATTACAAAAGAATGAAACAAATGATAAAGGTGTTCAAGAACAAATCAATAGGGAGAGAGAACATTGGAAAAAGGTGTTACTAAGGATAATTGCTGTTGTGAGAACTCTTGCTAAAAATAATTTAGCGTTTCGTGGAGACAATGAGAAGATTTATCAAGAAATAAATGGAAACTTTTTGAGTTTAATTGAAATGATTGCTCAATTTGATTCGGTAATGCAAGACCACCTTCATCGCATTGAAAGGAATGAAATTCATTACCATTGTCTTGGTCACAAAATCCAAAATGAATTGATACAGATGTTAGCGGGTGAGATCAAAAGTACAATTGTGAAAAAAATCAAAGAAACGAAATATTTTTCAGTTATTCTTGATTGTACTCCAGATGTTAGTCATGAAGAACAAATGCCTCTTGTAATAAGATGTGTGGATGTTTCAACTAATCAAGTAAAGGTGGAAGAGTTCTTTTTAGAATTTTTAAAGGTGGATGACACATCGGGATTGGGTCTTTTTAATGTACTTAAAGAGGTATTGTGCACACTCCAACTTGATATTGGTGATATAAGAGGGTAAGGATATGATAATGGCTCTAACATGAAAGGGAAACACAAAGGTGTACAGAAAAGGCTACTTGAAATAAATCCTAGAGCATTCTACACACCATGTGGTTGTCATAGTCTTAACCTTACACTTTGTGATATGGCTAACTCTTGTCCCAAAGGCTAACTCTTGTCCCAAAGCTATCTCTTTTTTTGGAGTGCTACAACGTATATATTTATTGTTTTCATCTTCTATAAAGCGGTGGAAAGTTTTCAAAGATCATATGGAGGGTCTCACATTGAAGCCATTGTCACAAACAAGGTGGAAAAGTCGCGTTGAAAGTGTTAAAGCAATAAGATATCAAGCTCCACAAATAAGAGATGCTTTAAATCATTTGACAAATCTTGGTGAACCCCACAATAAAAAGAGTGAAGCTGAGTCTTTAGCAACATATGAAATTGAGAACTTTGAATTTTTGCTTGGCATGATTATTTGGCACAATTTATTGTTTGCAGTTAACTCAGTTAGCAAAATATTTCAAAGGGAAGACATGCATATTGATGTTGCTATAATGCAGTTAAAAGGACTCATTACCTTTCTTGAAAAGTATAGAGAAACTGGATTTTTGGATGCCATGACTGAGGCAAAAGAAGTTGCTACTCTAATGGAAATTGATCCAGTATTTCGTGAAAAGTGTGTCATTCGCAAAAAGAAGCAATTTGATGAGAATGTTAGTGAAGATGTGACACAGACTGCTGAAGAATCTTTTAGAGTTAATTATTTTATGTATATAATTGATCAAGCTCTTTCTTCACTTAAGAGTAGGTTTGAACAATTTTAAGTATATGAGGAAAATTTTGGATTTTTGTTTGATTTGAAAAAGTTGAGTTCTACCAACAAGGAATGTTTGAAGACTTATTGTGTTAATCTTAAAGATTTTTTGAAACATGATGAACTTTCTGATATTGATGGGAGAGATCTATTTTCAAAGTTGAATGTCTTGAAAGAAGTTTTACCGGAAGGAATCAAAAGACCAATTGAAGTATTAAATTATTTGAAAACAATAGATGGTTGTTTCCCAAATGCATGGATTATGTATAGAATTTTGTTAATTTTGTTAACTATACCTGTTACAGTGGCCTCTGGAGAAAGAAGTTTTTCAAAGTTGAAGTTAATCAAATCTTACCTTCGGTCAACTATGCTACAAGAAAGATTGAATGGGTTAGCTTTGTTATCCATTGAAAAGAATATGGTGGATAAATTCGATTATGCAAGCTTCATTAGTGATTTTGCAGCTAAAAATGTGAGAAGAGTAATGTTTATGTGATAGTTAGTTCAATTGTAAACTGGATATTGCTAAACTATAAAGCAACAAAACCAGATTTTTAGTTTTTTGAGTATTTGTAATGATTGCTTCCTATCTTAATATATGAAAGTAAACTTTTTGTTTATAATTTTAATGAATATATGTGCAAATAATGTTTTATCCATTTATCCATCAACTTTTTTTTTTTTTTTCCAATGTAAGAAAGGCTCCATTTCCGAAGGTCGCCTTGGGCCCCCTAAATCTCAGGGCCGGCCCTGACCTTATATTTATCTATAATTCCATCAGGTTTAAGTTTTTTACGGAGGACCCATTTACACCCAATAGCTTTATAACCAGGAGGTAAATCCACTAGCTTCCATGTTTTATTTGAAAGTAATGAATCTATCTCATTATTTACAGCCTCTTTCCAAAAAATAGCATCAGGTGATAATAAAGCTTCTTGCACTAAAAAAGGAATTTCTTCCACATTGTAAAGATAATAGTCAAGGCCAAAATCATTTTCAACTCTAGCTCATTTACTCCTTCTTGGTTGGATTTAAAAATTTTCTTGTTCTTGAAAAACTTGAGATGGATTAAAAAAACTAGGCATAAATAAAATATTTTCAGAAAATATTTGACCCCCACTGTTTCTACATTTGAAAGGACATTTATTTCATGAAAAATAGCATTACCTGATTCAAAAATAATATTATTTTTCATATCAAATAATCTATAAGTTGTACTACGCAACACATATCTTAGAAAAGCACAAGTGGTAGTTCGTTCACCCAATTTAGGTCGTTTAGGATATGCAAGCCTCACAAAAGCTAAACAGTCCCAAACCCTCAAATAATCTAGATTTGGTTTATGCCCCCACCACAACTCATAAGGTATAATTTTAGTCCTTTTGTGTGGCACTCGATTTATCACACGGCAAGCTGTTAAAATAGCCTCGCCCCAAAGATTTGAAAGAACACCCGAATCAATAAGAATAGCATTCGTTAAGTCAATTAACATTCTATTTTTTCTTTTAGCTACGCCATTAGATGAAGGTGAATATGGTGGAATAGTGTCATAAATAATTCCCAATGATTAAACAAAAGAGTTGAATCCAAGAGATTCATACTCCCGCCTTCTACCACTTCTAATTCTCTTAATTTTTTTTTACCAAATTGATTTTTCACTTCAAAAAAGAATTCTTTAAATTTCTCAAAAGCATCACTTTTGTTTTTTAATAAAAATATGTTTGTATATTTTGAAAAATCATCAATAAAAGTGATAAAATATCGATATCACCATGAGTTAAAATTCCTTCAAACTCACACAAATCAATATGAAATAATTTTAGCAATTCAGTATTTTTCTCAACATTTTTATGAGGCCTCCTTGTAATTTTTACTTTACTACAAACTTTACATTTCTCAAAACATTTTGTCAATTTAGGAATTAATCCTAAACTACTCACGATTATCACATATTTACTGTTGATATGACACAAACGAGCATGCCAGAATTAATAGAAAATAACATATAAACCGAATTGGTAGATGATTTATTAATCTCAACATTTAGTTTGAATATCCTATCACTAGCATAACCCTTACCCCAAAAATACCCTTCTTGGTAATCATATATTGATCAGATTCCATAGTTTGCTTAAAGCCAACCTTATTCAACAAATAACTTGACATCAAATTCTTCCTCATGAACGGTATATAAAGCATATCTTTTAAAGCAAGCACATGTCCAAAGGTGAACTTAAAGTTAACCTCACCACTCTCAAGTATCTTGGTTTGACTAGAATCACCAAACATAATTGTTTTCTCATCATCAAAGGGAGTATATACCTTGAACCAAACTTTATCATAACAAACATGTCTATTAACACCATAATCTGCCCACCAACCTTCCACATAATTAACCATGCAAATGTCTATAATCATCGCCACAAATGGCTCCTTGATAACATTAGCCTTTGGGATAGGTGCATATTTTCAGAATTTGCAAGTTCGAGCAATATGGCCACTTTTGTCACAGACAAAGCATGTAAAATTTTGTGGAGATGGTGGACCTTGATTCTTATTTGGATTAATCCATTTATTATGAAATTTACCACCTGATCTATTTGTATCTCATTTTCTTTTCATTATTTATTAATAAAATATAATTCTTCTAGTATTTTCACTAACAATTTTAAGGAGATCAAGTCTACTGCGGTAGGAAGAATCTAAATACCAATGCAGCAGTTACTAAACTCTGACTTGTCCCCTCTAGGATATAATAATCCGACCACTTGTCGTATGGTCCAAGTCAACTCTTCATAAAATGGTGAACCCAAAGCTCCACCAAGAAAAATACCATTCTTTGGCTAGTAATCTCTTAAGTGTAAAAATAGTTGGTCTAAAAAAGATTAGATGAGAATGACAATGTATAAGCCGCGAGGACCTTATAAATTACATCAAAAATAATGACCATTAAACTAGAGAAAATTGAGAGTCCCAAAGCCTCCAAATATTAACTCATTACCAAGCCCATGACCTTCCAAATAATCTCTATTCATGGATAAGACTAAAAGTCATCAAAAAAAAAATTTAAAATAAAAAATATTAAAATGGTCCAACAGTTTGTTTATGTCAAATACTTTTCATTCTACTCAAATTAGCAAAATAGAGTTTTGTTTCAGGGGTGTTTTGGGAAGTTGGTAAAAAGCTGACTTTTGACTTTAGTTTTTTACCAAGCTTTTTGGCTTTTTTGTAGGTGATTTGGGAAGTTGGTAAAAGCTGACTTTTTTGCTTTTTGGTTTAATATTTTTTTAAAGTGTCGTATCACTATAAAATGACCAAAACACCCTTAGCCAATTGACAAAATTTACGATTTTGCCCTTGTGTATGTGAACACTTTTTTGAATATAATTACAATTTTCCAACATATTTTATTTCATTTTTATTATTATTACAATTTGCAAATTTTACCAAATATTTTTTATGATTACAAATTTATTATTTTCATTTTACGAATTTATTATTTTTATTATTACAAATTTATTAGTAAATGTATTCTTTTTATTATTATTACAATTAGCAAATTTTCCAAACAATTATTGCAAATGACCAAAAAACCCTTAGCAAATTTTTTTCTATTATTATTACAGTGTTGTTAATTATTTTTATTATTATAATTGAATGACATATTTATTTTCTTAATTTTTGCCAACAAATTGCGCTCTTACATTTAATAATTTTTTTATTACAAACTGGTAAACGCCCTTCATAACCTGCAACTTAGAAACATAACCATACATTTTTTTGACACTTTAAACTAGGGGCGGGCGCGGGTCGGTTGCGGCCACGGAATCTCCAATCTGCCATCCGTCCCCCATATTGGCGGATTGGAGAAAATCAATCTGCATCCGTCTGTCAATCTGGTGGATGTGAATTGAGCGGATTGGCGGTTTGGCAGATAGATGCGAATCGGTTTGGCGATTTAAAATTTTATAAATTTTCAATATAATTCAACTTGTGCACTTCCTCAAAAAAAGATGAAGAAAGTGTTACAGTCAATGACTTAAAAAAATATTACAATCACTGCATGTCTCATCCAAAACAAGAAAGTTTGAAACTTTAGAATATCACAATCACTGCATGTCTCATCCACATAAAGTATTACAGTCTGTGGTTCTTAAAATATAAAAACAATTCAAACCACCAAAACCATGAATAGAGCAGTA